TGTTTTCGCGGACCAGGCAGAACTCCCACACGCTCTGGCTCTCCAAGGTGCTGTCCAGGTCCACGGGGACATTGGGCTCACTCTGCTTCTCCAGGCGGTACTGAGGGCCTGGAAGATAAAGGGGCAGGAGGGGGGAGGAAGTCTGAAACAGCGAGTTTAACATGGAAAAGCACCGCATACTGGCACAAAGCTGTTAAAGCATTGGGAAAACGCTGACGTCTGTCTTGAGGGTCTGGCTATCCAAGATGGAAAGGTTGGGTATTTTTCGCACAAGGTTTCACACACTTGTCTGTGCTATCACCCGGTCTGTTTCCACTCAGTTCTCCCCCAGGTGAGAGGTAGATGGTTTTTGAGGCAGTCTGACCTGGAATCACAACACAGCTACACGGTTTCTCAGATGTGAGCAGTTAACCTACCTTTTTCTGAGCCTGTTTCCTAATAAGGAGAGCTTACCACCGTAAAGGCTTACTATGAACAACAGAGATGATGCGCCCTAAGGAAGTAAGTACTCTAAGTAAGAAAAAATACTCATCCTACAAAAAAGTATTTATACATAATCATTAAATAAGAATGAATAAGCAATTATAAGCAGGAATAAGGTATGTTTAGAACTCTAATATGGTAACAGCCTCCAAATTCCGTTTTTTTATTAAATATATTTTATTGATTTTTTACAGAGAGGAAGGGAGAGATATAAAGAGCTAGAAACATCGATGAGAGAGAGACATCGACCAGCTGCCTCTTGCACACCCCCTACCGGGGATGTGCCCACAACCAATGTACATGCCCCTGACCAGAATCGAACCTGGGACCCTTCAGTCCGCAGACCGATGCTCTACCCACTGAGCCAAACCGGTTTCGGCCCAATTCCTTTTTTTTAAAAAACAAAACAAAATTCAGGTGTTTTTTTTTGTTTGTTTTGTTTTTTAAAAACAAAACAAAATTCAGGTTTCTGGGTTACCGTGATAGAAGGACAATGGATGCTGATTCATGTTTTTTTTGCTGAAACATTTGTGAGAACACAAAGATAAAGGTTTAATAATTCTGGAAATCTAGAATCCTAGCACAGGGGGTTCTGGCAGATTTTAATGAAACGCTGGGGCGTTTTATACATTTACTGATGGAAGTCTTTGTCAAGCCAAATGACAATCTTCTTCTTCTCAGATACCACCTAACGGGTCCAATGATCAGAGTCAGAAGACTGCTCCCTGTTGCTGACGGGCATTGAAAAGACAGGAGGCGTAAGACACCTCACTGTCTGGGCCATGGAAGGCGCAGACAGGAGAGGAGAGAGACAGGAGGGGAGCAGCAGAGGCCTCCTAGGCAGATCACATATTTTTAGGCTGTTCTTCAGCTGTTGTCTCTTAGCCAGTATTCCTCCTTTCTCAGGCGACGCACCTCACTCCTCTCAGCCATTCTCCTCTCCCATATTCTGTGCTCACCTGCAGCATATAGTTTCCCCGTACATTTGAACTGTTCTCTAACTTAATTTCATCAGCACTCTGCCAGTTCTCAGAGTTCTTACATACATTCATTTTTTTTAACAAAACTTACAGCTTTTAGACCTTTATAAAGTAAACAATGCTCAAAACACACATAACTATGTACTTAAGCAAGTACATGCTCAGAAGTCTACACCATTCTTATAAACTCTCATACACTATATTAGCTCAAGAATGTACCCATTGCCACCTTACTCATAGTTCAATTTAATTTCAAAAAGATTAAATAAAGGTGTGGAAGTTCAGGTAATTCATGGTATCTGCTACCTGTCTCCTGTCTATGATAATGCCTGTCAATCACCAGGCACACCTGCTGCTGGTCGCTGCAGCCTTCACATTCGCTGGTGGAAATAATCCCAGGAAAACCATGCCCAGCTGGACTTGAAGAAAACCTCGCTGGTGAGAGATTCCTACGCCCCCTCACCCCTGAAGCTGGAGAGCTGCTCCCCAATAACTCCCAGCAATACTGTGTGCGAGGCACTGACATCCACTTCTGTGAATTTACAGTGATATCTGGGTACAAAGTTTAGCTATAATCAATCATTATTTCATGATCAGGAACAACCGAGATGTAATAAAATACTGTGAAATACCTGGTTAAACAAAATATTGTGAAGTACCATGAAGATATTAATGGTAATGTTGCAAAAATATTTAATCTTATAAAACACCAGAGGCCTGATGCACAAAATTCATGCATGGGGGCTGGGGGATAAGGCGGGGCCGGAGGGGTGTCCCTCAGCCTGGCCTGCGCCCTCTCACAATCTGGGACTCCTCAGGGGATGTCCAACTGCCGGTTTAAGCCCTAAACCAGCAGTCAGACATCCTTTCGCAATCGGGTACCCCCTCACTCTTAACTGCCTGCCTACTTGCTCTTTACTGCCCCCCTGCTCACTCCTGGCCGCCTACCTGCCTACTCAGCACTGCCGTGGAGGCAGAAAGGCTCCCGCCACCACCCTTGCACTTGCCAGCTGTGAGCCCGGCTTCTGGCTAGCAATGCTCCCACTGTGGGAGCACACTGACCACCAGGGAACTGCTTCTACACTGAGCATCTGCCCCCTGGTGGTCAATGTGCATCATAGTGACTGGTCATTCTTCTGCAACAGTCGTTGGGCTTTTTTATATATATAGACTAGGGGCCCAGTGCATGGATATGTTCACCAGTGGGGTTTCTCGGCCTGGCCTGCACCCTCTTGCAATGTGGGACCCAACTGGTGCATGATTGGCACCGGGGTGGGAATGTGGGAGGGCTCCTGGTGTGTCTGGCCCATATTGCCCAGTCCTGATTGGGCTAATCAGGGCCATCTCGCCCAGTCCTGATTGGGGCTGGTCAGGGCCAATCAGGGCCGGAGAGGGACCATGGGAGGTTATTGGGGATGAGGGCTCATATAACAGGCCAGTGTCTTGGAAAGCAGCTCTCCAGCTTCAAGGGTGAGGATGCCCCAGCTGTGAGCGGTGGCTGTTAGGGAGGGAAAGGAGAGGGGGCTAGGAATCTCTCACTAGCGAGGTTTTCTTCCAGTCCAGCTGGGCATGATTTTCCTGGGATCTACCAGGACTTGTCTGGCTCGTCTTGCCCAGTCCTGATCGGCCAGATTCCAGCAGCAAACTAATTTACTGGTCAGAGCATCTGCCCCCTGGTGGTCAGTGTGCATCACAGCTATCGGTTGAATGGTCAAACAGTTGAATGGTTGCTTAGGCTTTTATATATATCAATGTTTATAATATGTCATTTTATGAAAACAGGGAATTATAACAATATGTGCAGAAGGATTGCAATTATGAAAAAATATATGTAAAGTCACAGGGGGGAAAATACTGAAAGGTTATTTCCGAAACGTGAGTAGTGGGTCATAATGGGAAAATGAGTGCTTTTCTTTCTCTGTATTATTCCGTATTTTTCACATTTCCTATACTAAATAAAGGCTACTTTTATAACTTATTAAACATCATATATACTTACAAGCCCTCTGATTTCTTACTATGCCATTTTTCTGAGGATACTACAATTATCACACATCATGACATCTGCAATGAGTCTTTCATATGCAAAATTTAATCCAAATTAGACATTAACTGTTTATGTAGATCGATATTTTAATCTTAAAAATCCTGCAACCTAGCATGCTTACTGTGACTTGGAGGGCAGTGTACAGGGCGTTGGGCTTCTCAAGCTGTCTACCTGACAGCTGGATTAAAGTAAGCCACCCCTTTCCTGATCGCTGGGAGCCAACACGTAGCTGCATTAGGGTGGATTCAGGCAGGTTTCCTTTATACCCTTTTCCTTCCAGGCCCTGCAGCTGCCTGGGAAACATGGATGAGAGAAACCCGGGTAGGTAGGGAGTACTAAGAAGGGTCTTGTATCCCTAAACACAAGTGCCTGCACCACTCTCAAAGCCATAAATGCCATCATTCAACATTTACTTTCTTGTTTCTTGGATGTTGCAGATATTTCTATTGAACTAGTTTGTTTCTGGAAAGTAGCTTTAGAACTTTCCCCTTGAAGCTTAGTATGATGATGACTCTCATTTGCAGAATGACCATGGTATGCCAAGCATTCTATGTATGTTAGCTTACTGAATCCTCACAGCAACTCTGAGAAGTAGATATTATTATCCCCCTTTGTCAGACTGGGTCCCTGAAGGATGGCAGGATGAAGTAACTTGCCCAAGATCACAAAGGTCGGAAGTAGAAACAGAAAAATGAAAGCCAAGGATCTTGGACTATAAAGCCTATGTGTTTTGAACCTTTCTTTCTCTTGAAAACTATAAATTACTGGCCAATTATAAAGAGGCCATAGTTTATAGCATAAGTATAGATTTTTATAGATTTGTGGATTCATTTGGGTTCTGAATCACTTAACTTCTGGTTTCTATGAATTTAAAATGAAAATGATCTGAAATAATTTATTTTAATGAAACCCACACATACTAAATATCCCATGCCATGGCTGTTTCCCCGGTCCTTGTGAGGACAGAATCGTCTTATCTTTCCATCCAACCAGGAAGCCTACCTCCCGCCTGTCCTTAAAAATATCCCTGTGTGCGCCCAGTCTTGTTAGTAACTAAAATTTTGACTGTCATCTGCTTTGGGTATTCTGCTCTTCCACAAAAACTAAAGAACAATTTGGAAGCCTACTTTTGAACTTAGCAAACAACTGATGGGTCTTGACTTCGGGGAAGGTTGATGGTTAAACTGTGGGCGAGACTTGAGATCTAAACCCAAATGGACAACTCCCTGTTCCAAAGATCCATTTCTCTCCTAACTCTTGCCCAAACAGTGGGCAACTTATCTCACACAGAAAGACTATTTTACATTTCCCCCTGAAGAATTCAGGTTGACAACTTCAGGCCATGTTGTGTAAAGGCAGGGTAGAGATGAGAAGCGATATAGCGTGATGAAGGGCATGGACTTGGGGCCAGATTGCTTTGGTCTGGCCCTGGCTGAGCCCCACCTCAGAGGCTGGGAGGATTCAATGAGTTAATAGCTGTAAAGCAGTTAGAACAGGGTCTGGTGCATTAGGTAGTGCTATTTAAGTGTCAGCTATCATCACTTCCCATCATCAGACTGGAACAATACTAAGATCACGTAACATAACATATCAGGGCC